CCCGCGCGGTCCCGTTGTAATTGGGGGCCTAACGAAGGGGCACGCGCGGGGGGTGCCCCGTGCCCAGGATGCTCTTAACGCCGCCCGAACAGGAGCGCGGGGACGATTAAGGCCTCAAAGGCTTTTTTGAAATTAAAGGGATAATAACAAAGAGGTTAAACCCCCTATTTGGCATTTGTAGAATAATGCCTTTCAAAGCCTATTATTCGCAGAAACTTTTTTTGTGTGTGTGTAATTGAATATTTCTTTTTAGTTAAATTTTAACATTTCTCCCTCCCAGCTGCAACTCCGAGCCCTGAGCTACGGTGAGAGTCAAGAAGGCAAAATGCCAAGACCGACCCTCCGCCAAAGGAGCGGGACAAGAGCCAAGCAGGCAGCGCGGATAGCGGGAAGGTTTAAGAAACTTTTTGCTAGAGCTGTCCAAGGAAGTTGCTAGAGAATAGCCTGCAGACACCGAAAAGCTTGGAAATCCCTTGTGTCAGGAGCAAGTTTTAGGCACATGCATAGATCCATCTCTGTGCAATTTGCCTAAGCATCTGTGCTTACTTTTAAGCAGATGCTTAGACCTAATTGAAGTCCAGGGCTCTAAGCACACGCTTAAACGTTCCACTAAATCATTGATGAAGCTCAGCTCCCACCGGCAGCCTGCGTCTCACTGGAGGGCTTCCCGCCTGCCAATATCCAGTAAGCTAAGGCAGACACCTTCGCAATTAATTCTTTGATAAAACAGCCCGAGAAGGCCGCACAGCAGCTATTTGACACGCCAGTGATTTATTTTCCTATTTCTGCCTCTTGCACCAGCATTGACTAAATCCATGGCCAAGCTCCTCTTAGCTCGGGCAGCAGCCCTGCACTTGCGAGCCGCTTCCTTCCCACCGTTTCGTCCGCAGCGATTCCACAGGCCCTTATCCCGCCAGGAAGGCTCCAGCTCCTGCACCACCAATCTCTCCAGCCGCATCCTAGGCGCTCACAGCGTGTCCCTGAGCACAGGAGCTCCACTGTTTCATAGAATCATAGAATGCTTAAGGTTGGAAGGGACCTCTAGAGATCATCTAGTCCAACCCCCTGCACACACAGGGTCACCTAGAGCACGTGGCACAGGGCTGCGTCCAAGCGGGTTTTGAAGATCTCCAGAGAAGGAGACTCCACAACCTCTCTGGGCAGCCTGTTCCAGTGCTCTGTCACCCTCACTGGTAAGAAATTTTTCCTTAAGTTCCTATGGAATTTTTGGTGTTTCAGTTTTCGGCCATTTCCTCTAGTCCTATTCTGTCAGTGGCCACCACTGAAAGGAGACCAGCACCATCCTCTTCACTCCCTCCCTTGAGGTACTTATAGACACTGATCAGGTCCCCTCTCAGCCTTCTCTTCTCCAGGCTGAACAGTCCCAGCTCCCTCAGCCTCTCCTCATAGGGCAGATGTTCCAGGCCCCTGATCATCCTTGTGGCCCTGCACTGGACTCTTTCCAGAAGCTCCACATCCCTCTTGTTTGGCCCCAAGGGGCTGATTCTGCAAAGAGGAGCGTCTTCCCCTGCTGATTTTTCCCGGTGAATCCGGGCTGGAATGTCGCTTTTCCCCTCGCTTTGCCGACTGCTGCATGGGAGCAGCCGAACACGTTTCTTCAAGCGTGGCAGCGGTTGGAGAGCGAAGGACCATGACAGCAGCCTGCAACAGAGCCGTAATCAAATCAAGGTCTCTAGCGCAGCGATGCCATCTGAGCCAGCCTGAAAGTCATAATTTGAGTTTAAAACACCCCTGCAACGGTGAGAAATTACTGGTGTCATCTCCCCCAGGAAGGCAGGGCCGCCAGCATGTTAAAATTGCAGCCCCAGCTGAAATTGTACCTGCCGCCGCCGAGCGGCCCGGGCGAGCGGAGACGGCTCCTGCAGGCCAGGGGAGCAAAGTCAAACCTATTAATCCATGTCCGAGCGCTGAGGATGTCACAGCAGAGGTTTCTGGAAGACTTCTCGCGTTCTCACGAGCTGTGAGCGCGGCGTGGTGACCTCCCCGGCCCCCGCCGTGCTCGGCCGATCACCACGCATCCATCTGCGCCTTAACTGTCCTCGCTCCTGAGCGGCCACCAGCTCCTTTGGCACGGGCTTTTTCAAGGTTATTTTCAGTTCCGCAGCATCACCAAAATACACAAGTCTGTGTCTAGAGTATTGCAGCAATGGGGCTGCTCTTCACCAATTTCTGCTCCTCTGTCCACAAGACACACAGGAGTTGTCACCAGTGTCACCTCTTCAAGGCTCTGTTATTTTTGTCAGCCACAGCACGTCCGCCCATGAATTTTAGTGACACAAATGCAGCTTTTCACCAGGGAAACAACTGCATTTTTCTGTAATGACGATGCTTTTTCCAGGCTGGAGAGGCCATGGCCGAGTGAACCGTCCCGAATTTTTTTGGCACTGCTCTACGAGACACACACACAACCCTAGACATAAGTTCATTGACCATAATGACATGTTACCACACGAGTGGATGTTCATTTGCTCCCTACCCTCGTTAACGCAGCCAGCGAACCCGCTCCTGTTTCACCCAGTTGGGGACAGTGCCCGATCACGAGGTTTTA